TATACTGCAAACAGCCTACTAGTTTTTTTATGTTTATTTATAATTCATTTAGGCGGACAACAAGGCTACCAAGTACTGCGCACTGTGCCCAGCTAATTAATTTAACGGGTTTTTTTTCTAACGTCATTTTTAGTCGATTTTTAGTCGAAAATGTCAGGACTTCAGTCGACCAAGATTTTCTTTGGTTGAATACAGCCCTACTCATTATAATGTTATGTCCCAATTAGGGCTGGGCGGTATGACGGTATATATCGTTACCGCGGTAGAAAATGTCAACCGTAACAGATTTTTTTATACCGTGTATACCGCGAAATGCAAATAAGTGGGCGTGGTTAACTCGCGTGCAACGTGCGTAAGACTGAAACACTGAGAATTGTAAAAAGAAACACGGAGAAAGCAGATCAAGAGGATCCACAAAGGAATTACATTTTCTAAAGGGTTGTTGTTGTTAACGTGATATTTTCGGGGGGAAAGGCGCAGCAGTTAACTAGAGCAGTGCAGCACCCAGGCTACAGATTAGTGCACGCTCGCAACGGGGAAAGCTGGACAACAACAGTTATCAATATCGTAACGAATAGAAATAACCTTAAATAATGTATAGTTATCTGCATCTTTCCGTCTCTTATGTAGGCTATAGTTTTTAAACACGCAAACAGCTTGCCGCGTGGTAATGAACAACCTGCTTGTTAAAGTGAATGTATAATCCTGTAGCCTATCTGAGGCAAAATTACTAAATATGAATCGTGAGTTATATATTTCTAACTCCAAACAATTGGCCACCGAACCAGCTGATAAAATCTTCCTTTGATTCGATCCGTGATTACAACTTGACACTCAAATTAACCGATCGCATTTTACTGATGCAGAAGACGCGCGCGTGCACACGCACTGAGGGAGCGCGGTGTTCACCGGTCTATCAATCGTCAAATAATGACGCAGTTACAAGGTGTGTATAATTTAAACTAGGCTACTTAGTCAGCACTAACAGTAGCTGCTGTTCGGTTTTCAAACTGCTGCTCTCCTGCTAGTCACTTCTGAACTTCTATTGATTAAAGCGCAGGGTGACGGGTTGCCAGATATCACAAAAAGAGCAAAACAAGCCCCTTAAAAACGCAGTGTAGCCTAAGCAGACATGGCAAAAATGTACCGGGGAACACATTTAAACAACTAGTATTACTATCCTACAAAATTAAAAGGAAGTAACTAATTTATCATGAATAGAATAGTTCAATATAAAATATTCAGATATTATAAACTGATTGATGAAGTAAAGCATAACATGAGATTGAAAAATAATTCAGAAACACTTTATTTAAAGTTTAATTGCACCTATGAGTTGTATTTAATATCAATCAGTTGGGGGCAGTTTATCTAAAAGTTGATGAGTGTGTTTTGTTTATATTTAGCTATCTAAATAGTTTACCAAATAAATAATTTACCAAATAAGAGAAAAAGAAAACAATGTGAAGTACTTTTCATTTCTAAAGTATTTGGGTTTATTTATTATACAAAGCCCTTTTTGTCGATTTTTCGAGAATAACTACATATATAAATATCTATATCGTGAAATATATCGTTACCGTGAAATAAAATGAGTCATACCGTGAAATAGAATTTTGGTCATACCGCCCACCCCTAGTCCCAATCATAGTTTGTCATCCATTGCTGTTTGAGCTGCATGCGCTGAAGCTAAAGATCATCACCGGCACACTTTACTACCACGTTATTTCTTAACCAAACACATCATATATGAGATAAATCAGATATATACACAAAGTAAACAATAATACAACTTATATTGCACAAAACAAAAGGCTGCGAATGCACAAGGCAAGCAAACGTATAGTCATAAAGATGTAACTCCGTTTTGGATCTTCCCGTAATATTCCCGTAATATTCTTTTACAGTAGCGTTTTCATTATAATTGTATGTAGCATATATGAGAGAGTTGCGCTGCACATGTTGCACTTCTGTATTTTCCTTTTCAAAGTGATTCAAAACCATCATGGCAAACCGTGCAAAAAGTGTCTCAGCTGAAGGAAATAATCCATTATTTATCGGCTTTAATATATTGGCCAAATTTTCTTATCGGGTCGATAATGATAGCATTAAAAAGGATCACATATTGGCCGATCGTTCAACGTGTTTTTTGACGGTTATTTTTATGCAAGAACTACGCATTCTGATTCTGACATTCCTTATTTTAATATTTTCAATAATTTTGTATTCTGGACTGATCTTTTTTTCATAATTTTGGCAATAGGTGAACTGTTAAATTATTGATCTTGAAGTCCTTGTAGTTGTCCAATATGACACTAATATGCAGATATTATAAACGTGACAGGCAATTTTTATAAAAATGTAGTTTGACCACTCTTCTCAGTTGTTTAAAAATATTGAGGCAGTTATCAAAGTTCGATAACATTTTTTAATTTTCCAATAAAAGATAATACATTTTTACATGATTTGTTAGATTTAATTAGGCCACCCTTTAGCGCATAGGTTCTCAAAGTGCGGCCCGCCGAAACATTTCTGGCGGCCCGCGATAACATCTGTAAAACTGTTAAAACTATTGCTTTGAAAAAATGAATATCTCTGTTTAGTGGTGTTTAGCGGCATCCATAGGCATAAGCGGTAATTACATGGTCCGACCGACCAATCGCACTTGACCTCACTCCCAAGGCCACCAGGAACAGTGGTTGTCTACACAGGAATAGGAATCGTGGCCAACCGAAACCAGCACCACAAATCCCATTGCAATTTAAAAGGGTATGTTGACCAAGTAATCAATATTCAATGTGACTTAATAATAATCTTAACAATGTCAAGCTTATTAATAGCCGCGTTTCCATTACCTTTCAAAATGTTCGCGGGCGCGAACACTTGCATTTTCCTATCAACAGTGGAAACAACTTAAACTAGTCTATCATTTCTGGTCATACAGAAAATAATAATGCATTATTCGCAACTACTTTTATTTGTGTAAACTCATAACAAGAAAACGTGCTTTTGTAAAATAAAATAAAACAATCAGTAGCCTAGGCTACTACGCGCTTTCATGATCTCCGTGAACTGGAGCGCGAGAACTGAAACAAAATATAGCCTATGTAGGCTAAAGCTTAAAATGTGCACTTTTAAACAAACAAACTCGAATCGAAAGCAAATACCTGATTATGTAATCCGTATGAAAGGTGGATTTCTCTCTAAAAGCGCATCTGCTTAACAGCGGAGATGGAGATATGTTTTTAGCTGACACTTAGAAAACAATAGTTTATTAATAAACAATTAAAATGCCTCGCTGTTTTTTCAGACGCATTTATTATCATTAGCCTATAACTCACCTATAAATCAGGCTAGATCAGACACGTACAGGCTATATGGCTCTTCTCATTCATCACTGCGGGAAAAATATAAATTCCAGGTTCTAATTTGGCCTTAGAAAACCAGTAAAATCGACATGTTTTCCATATTAATTTGTGAATATTTAAAATGTTTAATAAGGGGGCAGAAAGTCATTTAAACAAAAATCTGAAAAAGTCTGTCGATATTTACTTTTTTTGCGCAGCAGTTGGTGAAGCCAGTTCAAATTAAAATTTTGTTCAACTTTGCGTTTTAAAAAGACAACAACCGTTCATTTTTCGTTTTTCAGTTACGGGTTAAAAAAGATAGATAATAATATGCAAATCTGCAATAATGGAAACGCGACTGACAAGCAATGATAGAAATGAATGATGATGATGACTTGTTTGGTAAGCTTCTATTTTAAAAGTTTCTTTCTCTCCCCCCCAAAATTTTCACAAGTTTTGTCAGGTTTAGCCTCAGTTATGAATTAAAATGTGTTTATTGCAACTAATGTAAACTGTAGAGATGCAACCTGGTCATTAAAATAATTTCAAATGGGATTTTCTTTTCAGTTTTTTTTTCTTCGTTTTTTCCCCCGCCACTTTGGCGGCCCTCAGTTCAATGTTGGGTTCCTAAATTGGCCCTCACCTATCAAAACTTTGAGAACCCCTGCTTTAGCGGATTTTGACTTGCACATCTTAACGTCAGAGTGCAACAGTGCGTGGCTGCGCACTTTTTCCAGTGTTGTTGGTTTCGAAAGTATTTTTCCATAAATTTTTCCCATAGGAAAAAATTAAGTCTTTGGTAAAATATTTTAAGCCATGAACCAAACCAACCAGCTACAAAGTGAATCGCAACATTACAAATTTGATTTGAAGCAAAAACGTATTTAAAAATCAGACAAAAAGACAACAAACAACACTGTGTACTTAACTTTAGTGAGGGAAAGAACTACAATCCCATGAAGCATTGCGAATGAAAAATAAAACTTAAGTTTTTTTTATTTCATCTATACAAACAATAGGCTATATTTTTAATTTATTGCAAAATAAGTATAATATACAAAAATTATATATAAAAAAAAAAACATTTTTTGAGAGCGTAGGAAGACCAACTCGATAACATCATTTGCGGTGCTTCATAGAGAGGGCTGACCTCAGGGCTCTCATTTTTTGTGATTTGCTTGCTGCGACTCTCTGATTGGTGGAATTTTCTTATAGCGTCATGATTAATGTAGTTTTCACAACGAATACCGCTGTTAAACACAATTATATAAAAAAATATGTTTGTAAACCCTAACAGACAGCTTCAACAAAAGCATATAACACTGATTAGCAACCTTGTTGCTCACACCTGTCTGTCTTTTAAGAATTATAAGTTATTGTTAAAAATCAGTTTTCAAACCCGACTGTTGCACTCTATAGAAAATGTCAGAAAATGTAACATGCACTTTATGAGGATGCCTTTAACATGCTAAATTATTTCTGGACATTTTAGCGAATGTAAGAAATCCGTTTGCCAACTCTAATCATGTCACAGCTGAGAGCCGGTTTTTGAAACAGAAGTGAAATATAGGTCATCAGAAAAGGAAACTGAAAGTTTACTTTGCTCAATACACGCAGAAAACTTCAAAACATTCAAAAAAAACTTCAGCTCACCCGATCTTGTTCGTGGGGCAGCAGACGCACTGGAGGCAGAGAATCCAGAGACACACAGCCCGTCCCGTCATTATGAGAACTCCTGCTTACCAACCGGAAGAGCGGTCCTTGTTTTACCACCCGCCCGTGAGCTGCGGCCCGCTTCAGAGCAAGCCGGAGCTGCTGGTGGAAAATGCCTGGCCCCATAGAGCCACTGCCAGACAGATAACCTGCAACATCTGCCTGGCATTTCAGAAAGCGTTCGATGCTCTTTAGGGATGATCCACCAGGTTCGTGAAGCCCCTCCAGAGAGCGCTTTATGAGTTTGTTCCAGTCCAAGCCTGGTTTTTTGCTGGAGCTGGAGGTGCTGGAACTGCCTCCACCTCCTGCCGCCCTGGGTTTTGGGAGCGATAAACGTCCAGGGTTATCGGGGTCCTTGTATGAGTTGAGCCCCTTGTTGGACACCTTGAGTATGGAGCCATCTTTAACACTGAGCTCGAGGTGCTCCAGAACCGTCTTGCGGTCAAGCCCATGGGACATTGACACAGCATTGCAGATGCGCTCTTCGGAGGGCCGCTGCTTTTGCTTTTTCACCTTCTTGATGGCTTCCAAGATCCAGGTGGTGTATAACGGGTTGGCCAGCTTCACCATGGCTGCTGTAATACTGCTGGGCCAAAGCCCAACACACTCTCACAACCGCTAGGGAGCACCCAGCGGCCTCAGCCCTGGCGCTGCCTCAACGTCGTTGTCCTCCTCCTCCTCTCTCTTCTTCCAGGAGGCTATCCTTTGTCCCGGGGAGGTGTAGTAAGTCTCTCTGTGCCTGAGCAGGAGCTGTTAGTGAGGGAGCCGATCACCATAGCATAGGCTCCCTAAATCCCCCCCCCCCAACCTCGAAAAGATTCCCCTAACCCAGTGACCCTTCCTCCTGAAGGGCTGCCACACCAAAGCAAAGAGGTGAGGTATGCAACAGGCGGACACAACAGCTACTCCAAGAGAAAAAGTTGCAAGAGCCTTGGGTGTCGTCTTATTTGCCCGTCTCAAAAGCAGTCAGTAAAGTAGAATCCTCGATTCTGACGGTTATTGTTATCCGTTTAGATGGAGCATCTTTGTTAAGAATTGTGACAGCACTTTCGGAGAGTTTCGGTTTCTTCCGTTGAGGAAATGTAAGTGTGAAAATACTGTCCAGCAGTTCGTTCCTTCCTTGTTGATCCTCCTAGCGCTGTTGGAACAAGCGGTCCTGAACAGAACTCTCACTCCAGGAAGCGACGTAGGCTGACCATCTTCCTACTGGGTATTCTTCAGAAACTCCTGCAACCTGCACACAACCAAAAAAAAAAAAACATGAAAAGGATTAGCATCTGAAAAGCACACAAAACACATTGCAACCAACAAAATTATTGAACACTCATCAATATTAATCATCCAGTACATAAAAAGGGCCGAAAACAGAAACAGTTTTACGGAAACACAGCCTCACTAAAGAAGGGTAAAATATCTATATGCATTAAATGCACAATGACAGCAAACTAACTCTTCAGAAATGTTTGGGTCACACTTTATATTAGGAGTCTTTACCTACCATGAACTTATGTTACAAAAATAAATATATATATCGGTACAATGTACTTATTGTCTTCGTGTGTTACTGCAAAACACTTTTGCTGCTATTGAGCTGGGATACTGTTAAGGCTACTGGTATGGTTAGTTTAGTTTTAAGGGTGGGTCCACAGTGCAATTATAGATGTAACTATAGAAATTAATTACAGATGTAATTACATGCACTCATACAGGTCATTTTAAATACAAGTACAACATAAAAACATCTATGTACACAATAAGTGCATTGTATCAAATGGTTAATTGAAATGTTATAGCACATAGTAGTTAAAAACACTTAATATAAAGTGCATCTGAAGGGTGCGCTTTACATTTTTAAACCAAGTTAAGCTTTGGTTTAAACAAGTTTTAGCCAATATTATCAACAATAATAGAACACTTTATTTTACATCCCTGCTACACATGTACTTACTATAGTAATAACAGTAAATCATGCATAATTACAAGCAACTAACCCTAAACAAATCGAAACCCTAATACTATAGTAAGTTAAAATATCACTTAGTACTTATTTGTGTAATTACACTGTAACAATGACACCCTAATATAAAGTGTAACCCAATAATCTAAACAAAAACAACTTGCAAAGGAGAACTGGCTAATAAACTTTTAAAAATACACTATTTTCAATGACAGCAGATCAGTGACAAGGGTTATATTAAAAAATATGTCTTACAACCAGAGTGCCTGAAACATACTTTTTTTAAAAGTTATATGACTGAAAGAAAAGCACTGTTCTTTCATGAACAAAATGTAAATTGTGTAATGCCATGTCTATTATTATAACTTCAAACAGACGTTGAGCAACTTCACAACACCTATGACAGATGGTCAGTCAGAAATCATCTGTAATGAGGTGCTAATCACATGTCAAACTGCAGCAGAAAGGAAAGCACGTAATAAATGTCAACACATGGCTAATAGTAAACAAAACAGAAACGGTTCTTGAACGCTGAAAAAATGTAAACAATATTACAAACAGCAGTTTGATAGTGGCTAAACACCAGTAAATATACTTTACTAAAGATTATTAAGGTATATTTTCCCATTCCAAACGATGTAAACTTTGAAGTAACGAAGCCAGTGCACTGAGCGGATGTTGTTAGCTCCAAAACACAAGCAACGTGCAGCTGAGAATAAGGACAATGTTTCCTCCATTCCTCTCAGCGCCTGAGATTTCACACCATAACAATCTGAAAAAGGACATTTTTATAGACCTTTCCAACCTCATATTCCGTTAAAAAACATCGCGGCCTAACTGAAAACACAATGCCCGTAACCAGTGGCTACCGCGGTTAGCGCGCCTCAGCCGTTACAAAAAAGGGACGCCAAGATTCCTTCCTTCCTTCCCTCGCGCCAACGTTTGACACGGCCGCGCGCGGCCTCAATCTCTGCCTCGGATAAGCGCATGACAAAAAAAATCCTCACGCGAGATGTTCGACTGCTCCTCCGCGCTTCCTCCACCATTTTATCCGCCACTTCCTTCCCCGCTTACTGTAACCTACCCTCCCTCCCCAACCGGAGAGCCTGCGGTGGCGGTGGTAGCGGAGGAGACGAGGCCCGTGAGGGAAGTAGTTAGGCCTCGGCTAGCTCCCCCCACCCTCCCCCTTCATCTCCGCGTACCCCCCGTTCCCTCTACCTTCTCCCGCTCCTTCCCTGAAAGGCAGAACCACGAGTCCAGTTCGGGCTCTCGAGCCGAGAGCATTTTGAACGCTGCGTGTAATTGTGAGCTACTCACCAGAATTTCGGCTCGAGTGGCCGAGGAGAAGGTGCCAGAAAGCGTTCGAAACACAGACAACAACAAGCCCGAAAAATGCAGCCAGAGAGCAGTGGCTCCAGAGCTGACGCCATCTTTGAGTGAAACAGGAGCTTTGCGGGTGGGGGAGGGGGGAAACAGTCGGCGCTAGGGAGCGTCTGCATCGTGCGAATCCGAGTGAGAGAGGGAGAGGCATGGGATAAGAAAGGGACTGCAGCGGGAGGAGAGAGGGGGGATACGGCTGCACACATCTGAAGGGCGAATGTCCGTTGATTCTGCGTGAAATGGAAGAAAGGGACAGATGGTAGAGCGGAAAAAAGAAAAGGCGATGTGGCACGCTTAGGGAACGTCTGAATGTTGCAGTCGCGCCTTGGCAGCGACAAAAGAAATCAAAGCGATGGAGTGTGGTTTTAATGTTAGAGGGTATTTAAAGATCAAAGACGGCCCCTCGACACCTCCCATCGGGGTTCTGCGTAGCCATTCTGCTGTTTTCGTCCCCTGTTTCCAAGAGAAATCATAATGCTGTAAAATAATAAATAAATAAACGCAAACGACAGCGCTTTTGAAAAAGCATATGTTTTGATTTTTGGGAACGGGGACGCACTATATAAACAATGCCTGTGAGAGTCACTACTAGATATGATTATGTAAATTTCCCGCAGTGCTGTATAAGCCAGTGATGACAGGTGACCTACACACACCTTTCCCTTCGGTGCTCCACGCGAGAGATGTTTCAATTTAACACCCACTCGGGAAATGTGAATCTGTTGCTTTAGTGCCATCCCTAGTCATTAATAGAATATTTATGATATGATGTAGTTGCGTTGTAATTGCAGTAATGTTTGAGCTGCGTGAATATATTAATATTATGAATAGCCTACATCATTATTTAGAGCATGCTCTAGATCATTTTTAAAATTCAAAAGAGGAAAGTTAGGAAACATTAGAGTTAAGACTATCATAATTGTTTCAGAATAATTGCAATTATGTAATACATAGGGTCTTTCTTATATGCCATATCTCTGTATTTAATATCACACAATATGTTTGTTTGGTGTTTAAAATATAAAACTGATATCTCTGCTTATTTCAATTTTCTTAATGTGTAAGTAAAATGAGATAATTGTTGACATACTTTGATACATCATAGTAGATCACCTGTAACTACATTGTGTGAATATGACCTTTTATATGGCTAACTGCAGAAACCAATATGGTAAATCAAAGTATACTTGAAAGTCAAAAAGTAAGCCATGTAAGCTATATGGATAAAATATATTATAAATCAATGCACATATTCACACAGTATGTATTTTTGCATGGATTATTTCCTGAACAGCACCCAATATTGACTCACTGCTGTCAAGGACTCCAGACAGCCCATTTTAAATGTATAGGCCTATACTTTATATATTCTTACAAACAGCAGAATGTTGAAGTCGTTCTTGTCTATTCGACAGCTGATACCGAGCTAGCTGGCAGGTGTTTTAAAAACAGGAACTACTATAAGGGAAATGAATTCAGAATTTTCAAACATGGATTTGGTCAAGCTTTGTGTACAAATCAATCTTTTTTTTGTATGTAATACAAAATGGCTCACCTGTTAGACTAAGCTTGATTGAAAAAAGGGGTCACATTTAAACCATTTGTGGCCATTTTTTAAAGCTGCAGTCTTTCGAAAGAATTAAACTCAGTATTGTCTAGGCATTTAATTGACACGCAGTAAAGTCAGCTTTGCCTGCTTTTCCCTTCCACAGTTCTCATATGTATGGGAGTACATGAGGAAAGAGACGTGGCTGGCTGGTGAAGGAAGTTGAGAGTGTGATAAGTCTTCAACATATACTTCTCAAATAGAACCAGTTATTTCAATGAACTGCAGTTATGAAGAGACTTATTAAATGTATTGAATAATATGATGCCACTGATGTTATAAACTAGTAATCACACATACTAAAACCACTATGATGCTGTACAAACAATGTCTGCTTTTTCATCCAAAACACTAGCGGTAAGAAAAAAAAAATACATCTAAATTTTTCTATTTATGATTCATTCGTGCCAGCATGACTCAAGAGTATAACTCACCCAAAGCACTATTATTGCTGATTGTTGACACTTTACCTCAGTATTTGTTAACTTTTATTACACGTTGGTTTCTTTCTGGGCCATACTAATATTTCTCCAATTGTTCATTTTAAAGAGTTGCCTTGCACCTTTAAAGTAAAAATTCTGAAATTCCTTTTGCATGATGAATGTCAAATGAAATGAATCCTCTGTTTTGCAAAGTCCTCCTAATAATTGAATTTATGCTGGTGAAAGTGTGAAAACAGCATCATGTCAACCTTCTCAATGCATGAGGGGGTTCTCCTGTTTTTGAGTGCTACCAGCACTGTCACTATAGAAACACACATATAAAAATAAATAAAGCCGTACTATGAGTAGGTAGCAATGGCATCTGATAGACTTTCATAACACTATGTGGGCGAGCTGTAGTTGCCCTGAAGCACAAACTTCATCAAATAAAGATCATCACAGTTTAATTAAAACATTCAGTTTAACTGTTGGGTCATTCCCGCTTTGGTAAACACAAAGTGTTAACAAGGATCAAAGCATGTTTAATTGGTAAAGAAGAACAAGCATACAATTTGTAGTGAAATAAAAGAGCTGACCTTACATGTGAGTGAAGGCAATTCCTATACTTTTAGAGAAGATCTTCATTTTGGGGTCATCTGATTGTTAGGGTCCAGACCATTCACAGACCAACTGTAAGCATAATTCAGGTCAGAAAAGCTTCCTCTGACCTTTGCCAGTGTTTACTTGAGCTTTTAAAAGGCCCATACTCTTCTGTCAAACATTGGTTTCTCTAATGTGGCGTTGTGGATAAAGATCAGGACTGGTGATGTATGTTGTAAGGGCAATCTTTGTTAAAAAAAACTATCATAATTGTGCCTTTGAGCAAGACTCTTAACCTGGGGGGGATATCCCTGTAACTTAAGATGAGATGCAGAGCATATGTGCCATAGTAAGTTGTGGAAATAAATTCCACAAGAAACATTCTATTCTATTCTATTCTATTCTATTCTATTCTATTCTATTCCATATATAAACTTTATTACAGGCTCTAGGCCCAACAACAGGACATACACACAAAAAGAAGAGAAAAATTTTTTTATTTAAAAGAATTACATAAACATATACAATACACCCTTTTTTTTTACAAAAATCTTAAAAGGCACTCATACCAATGCTTCCATATAGTGTGATTGATATCGGACCGAGCTACACCTGGGACTTGAGCCTTACTATAATATAGTTTCTTGACTCATTAAGTCGACCCATAAACTTAAACATTAGGTTCCTCAAAAGGGCCTGTAAACAGCTTAGCCTCAAGTCACAAAAAAGCTGGAAAAGCTATTCTATTCTATTCTATTCTATTCTATTCTATTTAGGGTGACCAGATTTCTCGGAGTTGAATACGGGACCGACACAGAACCGGGGGGGGGGGGGGGGGGGGGGGTTGGTCTCTCACTCGCTCTCTCCCTCTCTGTCATGCGCGCGCTACACGGTTTTGAACATAACATACATACATATTCACGTAGCCTTTCGAAAACGAAACCTATAATATATAAAAATATATATTAACGATGAAATACGGGACAAAACATGATTTTTTCATAATAAGTCGGGACACTAAACTTAGAGGGTCTGGTCACCCTAATTCTATTCTATTCTATTCTATTCTATTCTATTCTATTCTATTCTATTCTATTCTAAAGCATTTTTGCTAACTGTGCAAATTGCTTAAATGGACAGTTTACCCAAAAATGAGAATTCTGCCATAATTTACTCACCCACATGTTATTCCAAATCTGAATGACTTTCTTTCGTATACAAAACACAAAATAACATACTTTGAAGAATGTTGGGATCCGAATAACATTTAAATTCCATTGACTTTCATTATATGGACAACAACACTGAGACTTTTTAAGTATAAGAACACAGTGATCCAATCCAATGACATTTAGTTTCCATGTACTTCTTGAAGCCATCAGAACTAACAATTCTGGGTATTTCAAGTGTTTTCTCACAAGTCACAACTTAAGTCACGTTTACAGTGGGCCAGATATTGGCTTTGAAGAAAAAGAGACACTTTTGAAGGGGGTTGGGGTGGATGATGACAGTCATGTCCGCACCACAGACATCCTTGGAACTAGTCATTACTGCTTTTGTCCGTGTGAACCAGTAGGCTTCCTGCTGAGGCTGGCTCATGGCCAACTCTCAAAACCCAACTCCAGTCCCAAACCACTGCTCTTTATTTCTCCATAACACACGCAAACCCCTCCCATCCTGGAGCAGATTGAGGCCTATACAACGGAAATTTCCAGGCATATGTAACTGAGAGACCAGGCTCCCCACCCACTTTAACTAATCTATCTGTTGGTTCTCACTTTAAAGTCAAAAGGAATTCAAAACTGGCCATATTTTCTTCCTTTATACGCTGGGGTATGATTTATGATTCATCAGTGTGTTTGATTCCAATGTAATCTTTTATGCCAAAATCATTTTAACTAACAGCCAAATAGCTTCCAAATCTTTCAATTAGTTAAACATAATTTTGGCTCCCAAAAGGCAGAAGCTAACATAAATATGGCCTGATGACTGGGACAAAAAATTGAAAACAAAAAAAAGAATGTCAGAATATGAAAATATCAAGTTGCACCCTATGTTTTTTTATTCAATATTTCATTTCAGTAAAAAAAAATTACATTACGAAGGTTAAATGTGGACATTTACCTCCAATCTGTCCATTTAAACCTATAGTGCTCTTGAAACTGAAGTCGGGCCTGTTTGAGAGACCCAATCCTCCTCCACCTCACTTTCAACTCAATTGAAACACCTCATCCAATCCACTATAGATGTTTTTCATCCCAAAGCCTCTAAGCAGAGAGCAACTTCAGAAAGATCTCTCTGACACTATACTTTAGTTCTGTTTTTCCTTCTCGATCCCTCAAGTGCACAGAAGTGCCCTCCTCATTCAAGTATGAGTGTACTTCTGCCGGTCTGTAGGACCGGTGTTTGTGTCTGCTTGTGAAGAAACTATTGAAAATCTGAATGTGAAACATAC